CACTAAATGCACACACCCAAAAGGAAGAACTAAAATCGTGAGCACCTTAATCCAACATCTCCAACAATTAGAAAAAGAACAGCAAAGTAATCCTACAGCCAAAAGAAAAGATAATCAACAAGACAAAAAGTTGGTACATTTAAAGGACTAATAAAACCGAAAAACCACTGGCAAATCTAACAAAAGAAAAGAAGGTAAAGTAAACAATAACACTGATAAGGAATGATATGGGTGATGCCACACACAGAACCAACAGAAATGAAAATGCTAATACCAAAATACTACGAAGAACTGTACTAAAACAAATTTGAAAATCTAGATGAAACAGACAAATTTCTAGAAACACATGACCTACCTACCGTAACAACCTGTGACAAATATGTAGATGACACAACCTGGCATGCTGGAAGGAAGAGAACTTAAAACACTTACTGCTGAAGATCAAAGACCACGAGCCCTTCAGTATGGACTGCATCTCAGTATACAGACAACAACAATCCTCACAATGGGACCAATAAATAACATCCATATAAATGGAGTGAAGAATGAAGCAATCAAAGACTTTGTTTTGCTTGGATCTACAATCAACACTTTTGGAAGAATCAATCAAGAAATCAAATGATGTATTATTGCATTCGGCATATCTTTTGTACAACACCTCTTTCAAAAGCAAAGATATGAATTTGAGGACTATGGTGCCCCTGACCCAAGCCATGATATTTTCAATTGTTTCATATGCATATGAAGGTTGGACAATGAATAAGGCAGACTGCAGAAAAATTCATGCATTTGAGTTATGGTGTTGGAGAAGAATACTGAAAGTATCATGGACTGCCAGAAGAACAAAGAAATCTGTACTGGATGAAGTATAGCCAGACTATGCCTTAGAAACCTGGATGGTAAGATTTCAACTCTGAGACTTTAGACATGTTATCAGGAGGGACCATTTCCTGAAGAACAACATCATGCTTGGGAAACAGGAGGGTCAGCAAAAAAGAGGAAAACCCCCAGTAAGAAGGACTGATAAAGTAACAGCAGCACTGCGTTCAAGCACAACAACAATTGTGAAGATGGTGCAGGGCTGGGCACTGTTTCATTTGTTGTGCAGAGGGTCGCTATGAGTTGGTATCGACTTGACAGCACCCAACAACATTATCAACAACCTAAACTAAGACAGACTGAAGTAAGAAACTTGAACAGACCTATAACAAAAGAAGAAACTGATCAATTCGTTTTAAAACTCCAGACAAAAAAAGTATAGGCCCAGATGAATTTACTGGTGGATTCTAGCAAACATTCAGAGCACAGATAACACTAATTTTACTCAAATTATTCCAGAATAGGACAAGGATGGACAGCTCCCCACATTTATTTTATGAAACAAACATAATCCTGATGCCAAAGCCTGGCAAAGGTACCACTAAAATGACCAATATCCCTCATGAACACAGAGGCAGAAATCCTCAACAAAATCCTAGCCAGTAAAATCCAACAACATATCAAAAAAGCAACACATCATAATCAAGTGGGATTCATACCAAATATGCAGGGATCATTCAATAGCGGAAAACCAATCAACATAATCTACCACATAAACGAAAACAAATGAAAAAAACCCCACCTGATAATATTAATCAATCAGTAAAGGCATTTGACAAAACCCAACACCCATCCCTGATAAAAACACTCAACATAATAGGAATAGAAGGGAAATTCCTCAACATAATTAAGGGCATATACACAAAACTGACAGCCAACATCACTCTCAACAGAGAGAGAAACTGAAAGCCTTCCCATTGTGAACAAGAACCAGACAAGGATGCCCTTTATCGCCATTCCTGCTCAATACTGTCCTGGAAGTCTTAGCCAGAGCTATAAGACAAGAAAGGGAAATTAAATGCATATTTTGCAAAGACGTAAAAAAAACTCTATTTGCAGATGATATGATCCTATACACAGAAGAGTCCAAAGACTCAGCAAGAAAATTACTGGAACTCACAGAAAGATTCAGCAAAGTGGCAGGGCATAATATTAATATACAAAAATCTTTTGGATTCCTTTATACTAGTAAAGAGAGCTCTGAAAAGGATATTAGGAAAACAATACCATTTTCCTTCCCAACCCAAAGAGCAAATCTAACCAGAGAAACCAAAGACCTTTACACAGAAAAGTATAAAACACTACTACAAAAAATCAAGACACCTACAAAAGTGGACGAATATACGATGTTCCTGGATAAGAAACTGTGAAAATGTCAATACTCCCCAAAGCAATCTATAGATATAATGCAATACCAATACAAGTTCCAACATCATTCTTTAAAGAAAGGGAAAAACTAATCATTAACTGTATATGTTAAGGCAAGAACCCGGATTATCAAAGCATTACTAAAAAAGAACAAGCAGAAGGCTCCTCATTCCCTGATCTCAAGACTACTACAAATCCACAGTAATCATAATAGTCTGGTACAATGGGACAGAAGTGAGAACCCAGCCACCTACAGTCAATTGATGTTTTATAAAGGACCAAAATACATTAAATGGGGAAGAGACAGTCTTCAACAAACGGTGCTGGCAAAACAGAAATAGATTTGTAGAAAAATGAAGCACCACAAACAAAAACAAACTCAACACAGATTAAAGACCTAAATGTAAAAGTTAAAACTATAAAGATCATCAATGAAAAAACAGGGACAAACTTAGGGACTCTAATACATGGAATAAATATAACATCAAACGTAACTGAAAACACAAGCAATAGGAAACCAAATAGATGATTGGGACCTCCTAAAAATTATACACTTAGGTGCATCAAAAATTTCATCAATGGAGTAAACAAAGAACTCAAGAGACTGGAAAAAATACTTGGCAATGACACATGAGACAAGGAACTACTCTCTAACATTTACAATACAGTTCAACACCTCAATAAGACAAACAATCCAGTTAAAAAATGGGCAAAGAACACGAACAGACACTTCACCGAAGATGACATTCAGGTGGCCAACAAACATTAGCCATTACACATATGCAAACAAAAACAAGACAGAATACTGTTGCTGTTAAGTGCCGTTGAGTTGGTCCCGACTCACAGCAACCCTGTATAGGATTTCCCAGGAGCATCTGGTGGGTTTGAACTTCTGACCTAGTGGTTTGCAGTCCAGTGCTAATCCACCTACAGCACCACACTAGAAGTCTTGAGCATTAACAGAAAAGCTAAAAAAAAAAACCCCAGAAAATAACAAATTCTGGGAAGGGTGTGGAGAATCTGGGACCCTGCTACACTGCTGGTGGAACTGTAAAATGGTGCAGCCACTACGGAAAATGGTATGGCGCTTTCTCAGAATGGGATGGCGCTTTCTCAGAAGGGTGGGAATAGAAATACAGTATGACCCAGCAATCTGTCTACTTGGTACATCTCCTCAAGAAATAAGATACATGCATGCCCATGTTCATTACAGCATTATTCACAAGAGCAAAAAGATGGAGACTGCCTAGATGCCCATCAACAGAGGAAACTTTGATGCAACTTCAAGCAAACTTTGGTACATAAACACAATGGAATATTGCACAACACCAAAGAAAAATGATGAAATTGCCAAACATCATAGAACATGGAAGAGCCTGGAGGACATTACACTGAATGAAATCAATCAGTCACAAAGATACTGCATGAGACCCCTACTGTAAAAACTCAAGGAAATGTTTTCATTCTATAATAAACATTTTATGATAGCTAAAGGGTGAGCAAAAAGGAAGAATTATTCACTAGCTAGAATATAGACATGAGCTAACTTGAGTGACAGGGAAGGCTGTTAAAAAGGAAAAGGGGGAAAAAAGGAAATTACTTTCTTTCTATTATTTCCTCCCATAGATTTGCAGGGAAACAAAGTAGACTTTATTTTCTCATTAAAACAAACCATTAGGAACTTTCAGCAAAAGGAAAGAAGAGTAAAACAAGGGAAAAGAAAGAAAGAAAAGAGATTTGGAAATGGATGGTGGTGACAGTTGTGCAACACAGTGTAGTTGTGATGTCTGGATTGTACATATAAAAATGGTTGATGGCAAATGCTTTGTTGTATACATACCATTTTTAAAAGATCCTCAGTAAAAGAGTTCCCTTTCCATTTAAAGCACACAGAAGGCACTCAATATAGATTTTGTTTAGTATGGAGTTAAGAGTAAGAGCAATGTGCAAACCATACAGAGAAGTCAGGCCTGCAGAGAGCTCCCAAAGCAGGCAAGGCTCTGGGCTCAAGTAACGGGGTTATGCAGAGTTGCTGGGACCCTCTCCAATGGAAGGGAACCAGGGCCACTGAACTCCTCTCTAGTATGAATGCACCTCTCCTGTATGAATGCACCTCTCCTAGACGATAGTCCTTTGCTTTGGGTTTAGAAACTTCAGGTGTCCAATTTCTGGAAAATCTCAATTTCATGCAATAAATTTCTTTGCAATAAATACAATAAGTATGGAGAAAATGTTACTCAATTGTTTCATCTTCATAAGACGTTTTATGTAAATAAATACACATGCTTTAATATTTGAGTCCCAGTGTGGCACTGTGGCAAAGCACTGGAGTGCTAACCACAAGGTGGGCAGTTCAAACACACCAGTCACTCCTTGGAAACCCTTCACAGGGTCGCTGTGAGTCTATGGACAAGCTTTTTCTCCTTGTCTCATCCTTCAAAAGCCAACTCTAAACTGGGGATAATCTACTAGAGTATGCTATACTAAAATGTGTGTGGGCCACCCTCCCCAGAGAATCCAAAAGAATTAATGATGGGCTTTGAGATGAATAGCAGAAAATATTTAAAGCAGGAAACCATGGACTGAGACAGGCAGGACCAGATGAGAGGTCAGCCATGGAGCTTCAGGGAGGGACAAGGCTAGTTCACAGCCCAGCATTCAGTGTCCATGTCCTTATAGCTGGGCCTTCGAGTGTTAGCACTCCTTAACTGTGACCAGAATCAGGACCTCTCCAAGAAAGACCTATGTCTTACCTTCTCATACGGACAGTACTTAAACATCCTGATGGGGCTGGTGCAGATGAAGACATCAGTGCTGCCAAGAAGAAAAAGCAGAGTGAACCTGGGAACCTGAGTTCTACAGGCCTTTATCACCCCTGCCTGCCCACCCCACCTACCATGGAAGACACTGGTCTGCAATACCTTCCATACAAGAGTTGCCATTCATGCCTGAGCTGCTCTATCCAATGGCCCCTGTCACAGGCAATGAGCTGGGGCTGGCATCTGATTTAGGGGCAGTTTAGCAACAGCCTGAGCCAAAAGGCTGGCTGGGCTAATTGAACACTCTGTCTGGAACTTGAATAGGAAAATACTGAAAGAAGCATTCACCATGAGAGATATATTCAAAGATGCAAAGAATTACTTGAGGGAGAATCAGGGCCTTGTGCAAAGTTACCAGTGGACACATTTATGAGGGAGAACTACTTCAAGAAAATGTGATCAGTCCTTGGTAGTGAGAAGGAGAAAAGAGAGGAGGCTGCCCCTGTCTATTCCAGGCTAAGTTCTCTAACAGCATCAATTCCCTTAAGATAGACTTGGAACTCCTTTTCTGGAATCTTTGTGCTTCAAGTGCTGAAAACAGGGGTGTACTGACCCTCACAGAACCTCCAGGGTATGACTGCCACCAACGTCCCTAAAGGCCCTAAATTCTTCCCAACAGAGCCATCTGGCCCCAAGCATCTTTGAATACATCTCTTGTTTTGTTTTCTCTTTGACAAATTAATCCCCTGAGAATCATATGTAAGACTACCAAGTCCCTCTGCCTTCTCGTTATTTACAATGTTAACTCTCTCAGTAACCTTCTGCTAACTATGAAGGTATCTAGCCCACCTCCAAGGCAGGACCATCTGGGCTACTGTTTCATCTCCTAAATACTCCATCTCTCCTCAACATTCTCTTACCTCTTGCCTTCACTGAAACCTGACTTCCCTGAAGAACTCACCTGCCCTGCCTACTTCTCACTCCCCACACATAAGAGGTAGATGAGGAAAGTGTCTTACATCTTCTCCACTGCTACCAAAGCTATCCAGGCTACATCCTTGCCATCCTTCCCTGTGGGTGTCATCGGGAATGTTCAAGTACTGTCCCTCGTGTCCCTAGCTGCCCTCCATTACCACTCTTACCACCAACCTCAGGGAATTCAACAGAGATTTAGACAGATATACTTATGCGCACATAGAACAGCCCCTCTGAGGCCTGCTAGTTCTTAACCCTCATCAGTTAAATAAACCTCCTGCATTCCATCTCTGATTGTCACTAGGGGCATGCAAAGGCTGAGCATCTCACGCCCACCAACACGTTTACTCTACTCACTTCTCACACAGCCTGCTAAACCCTTCACCACTCCCAACCCTGCAGCTTCAAACCCTGCCCTCAGCTTGCTTGGGTTCTATGGTCCTATATAACTATCTAAATACATGAGGAGTATGAATCTGGATCAACGCAAAGCTGCTTCCTAAGAGATGGAGGTTAGACATACCTTTAGTTTCCAGCTTCTTCACCATCTCTAGCATCAACTGTTCCCGCCCACTGTACTCTCAACTTCTCTGCAGAATTCAATACTTCACTGTAATGGCCACACAGGACTCCCAGAGCATACTCACAGTTATGTCGTTTATTAGGGAAGTAACAGGCTACAACTCGGGGTCATAATCAACTTGGATATATCAGGAACAACTCAGGGACAGCATCAGGAAGCATGCAGGCAAGATCTGGAGAAGTTCCCGGAATGGAGAGCACATCCCTCCCTTCTGTAGGAACGATGGTTTCTGACCATGCAGCAGATAAGTTCTCCATTGGACAGCTCTAAGCTTATCCTTTGGCAGCTCCACTGCCCTCTTCTAGTGATCAGCAACTACAGCTTCCCTGCTTGGAGACGACCTTCTCTGCCAGGAAGCTGCTGCCTTCTCTGCTATGCAGGCTTCTCCATCACTGGCCTGTCTGCTGTCAGGCTCTCCACCACCGGGCTCCCCATCATCTGTCATTGGCCTCTCTGCTGCTAACTGGCCAGCGGAGCAGTCCACTAAGCTCTTTCAGCTGTTGCTCTCGGCCTCTGGGTCTCTGCTAGCTCAGCCCAGGGCCAGCACAACAGTTGCTCAGCTCTCTTAAGCTACTCTCTGCCACTGGCCTCTCTGTTGTTAACTAGCCCAGCTCAGACCTAGTACAGTAGCTGGCTCTGATCTCTTCGTTACTCTTTACGGGCAGGCCTCTCCATCACAGTTGACCCAGCTCACTGTCAGTGAACCAGCGTGTTCAGTTCTAATGCTTGTTCTCAGCCATCAGGCCTCTCTGTCACCAACCTCTGCAATGCTAACTGACCAAGCTCACAGCCACCTTTGTTGTTGTTCAGTGCTGTCGAGTCAATTTAGGCTCATAGCAACCCTGAGGGTTTCCAAGGAGCAACTGATGGGTTTGAACTGCCGACCTTATGGTTCACAGTCCAGTGCTGATCCTACAGCGCCACACTAGAAGTCCATCATTAGGACAGCTCACTTCCCACTTGGCTCTACTTCTCTGTGAGCCCAGCTCTTAGCATACGTCAACCATATGTGTTCCCGCTATTTATAAATCCAAATCCTCATCGGTTACAAGAGAGAGCTTCCTTCACCAAAGCAGAGTTTAATCAATCCTCATTTACCCATGAGATGTCAATCAACTCAGAACAAAAGTATCAAACCATCAACCTGTTTACAGCTTACCCTGAAAATGTCAGTCAACCCAGGGAACTCCCTGGGAAAAAGTAACAAACCTTGTAAGGTACAAAACCACCTGGAAGTTCTCCCAATAGCCCTATGCAAGTTGTTTCTCTAAAGAACTAGCTAGGGCAAAGGAACAATTCCTCAGGACTTAGAGGGAACATCTCCCAAGTTGTTTTTCCAAAGAACCAAGGCAAAAAGTCACCTAAAGGAACTCACTGCACCACACCCTATTTGTCTTCCTCCGAGAGGCTGGTAAAACTCTTAATAGAACCCAATCTCCACCTTCTCCCACCTGCACCTAAGCCATTGAATGTTGTGGGAGAAAAAAGGTCATGTCGTTTGACCAGTCTTACCTTAAATCCATGTCCACAAACCCAGAGCATTCAGGAATGGCTGGTAACCTTGCCGTAGTGTGTGTGCTCTCTGCTGCTCTTCAGGTTGGTGGGACACACCTGCCCCCGCCCCAGCTTCTCAGCCAACTCATTCTCAGTCAACTTCCTTATTTTCTCCATTAAATCTTGAAGCTGTTTTCTGAACTCATTTTCTTCTCCCTCACTATTACCTGGGCGAAAGGAGTAGCCCTTCCTCCTTTCAAAAGTCAAGTTCTCCATTCTACACTCTGGATTCTTTTTAAATTTGCAAAGCGTTGGTTCTTGTAATATTCTCTCTTTTCTCCTTCTTCAGTTACTCCTTCTCGACTGGATCATTCAAAGCATCTTCTATTATCACCCACCATAAAACAATATATACAAAGCTGACCCAACCCCCACACACATCCTTTCTAGGTACCACCCAACATCGCTGCTCCTTTTAGAGCCTAATACACCCATCAGTGCTAATTGCATTGCCTCCTCTTCTGCCCTACCTTCTACCCACTCCACTGCACAGAAACTGCTCGTTAGCACCAAGGCCACTCAGATCACCATGGCAGTGAACACCTATCCACTCTTCGCTCACTCACCAGCACTCACCACATGTGGTCATGCTCTCTTTCTGGAAACATCTCCTACCTACCTCTACCTCACCCTGCTGGTACACTTTGCTCCTCACTTACTGATCTGGCTCAGTCTCCTTTCCTCATTTCTACATATGGGAATGGCCCAGGGTGGGTTCTAGATCCTTTGTGGCTGTCTACACTTCCCCTCAGGAATATCACCCAGTCCCCCATGGCTCTAAATACCATCTCTAGGCTAATGACTTGCAACTTTATATTTACAATCCAGATCTCTCCCCTGATTGCCAGATTCATACCCTTTGGGGCCTATTAAACATCTCCACTTGGACAGGCATCTCAAGATTAGTATTTCCAAAAGGAACACGGAACACTTGATTCTCTCTCATGCCCACAACCAGCTCCTCCACCTGTCTCCCACCGTTTTTCTTCCCTTTCCTCTATCCAAACATCTGACCCATCACTAGGTTCCATGAGCTCCACCTCCCGCCTCTGCGGTATGTTCTCGTCTGTCAGTCTCTCCATCCCACAGTCACCACCTAGTGCAAAACTCCACACAGTCACTACCTTACTGGATCCTCAACTTCCAACTCTGCCCTCTCCTGGTTATTCTCACCCAGCATCTGGGTTGATAAACCTTTGTAAAGCTTTCATGAGGTGTAACTGGCATGTTATAAACTGCACATATTAAAAGTACAGTTAAATTGTAATAAATGTATCCACCTGTGAAACCATTACCACAATTTAAAAAAATTAATAAATAAATATAGCCACCACTCTTAAGTCCCCTCCTGGGTAGATACCTAGGAGTGGACTTGCTGGGTCACACAATAACTTTTTAAGAAAGTGCCAAACTGCTTTCAAAGCCATCGATCTGTTTTACATTCTCATCAGCAATAGATGAGGGTTATGATTACGTCATATACTTGGCAACAGTTATTATTTGTCTTTTTATTGTAACTAGTGAGTGTGAAGTGTGAAGTAGTAGCTTATTGTCATTTTGATCTGCATTTCTAATGATCTTGAACATCTTCACCTGTACTTACTGGCTGTCTGTACATCTTTTTTGTAGGAATATCTATCTATTCATATTCTTCACTCCAAATGTACACTTTAAACCAAACCCTACATTAGATTATTTCACGCTCTTTTCATTCTCGCCTTCTCCCCTCTTGTTCAGCACCTGGCATGAAACTGTAGCCACACTTTTCTCCGTTCTGTTACTCAAATAAGCAAAGTCCTTGCCCATATCAGAGCTTTTAAACTCGCTGTCACTCTGCCTGGAATGATCCTCCCCTGGCTCTTCCCGGCCTAGTTCATTCTTACCCTTCAAATCTAAAGTCAAATGTCACTTCCCAGGGTCCCTACCTAGGGAAGTCCCTTTCT